AGCAAAGAAAACCAGGAAAAAGAAAAAGAGTAAAGACGCCAAAAAATATTATCCATTTCAAACTAAACTTATCAAATTTTAACGATGGATATTTGCTTCCTCTAAACATGGTAAGAACAATTTAAACTACTTCGCTATTGTTAAAATTATATTGGATAGTTAGTCGTTTACATTTATTCCTTTATTTAATCACATATAAGACTAGGAATCTACACACACATCTATATTGACACCAATATCATAATAGGATGAATATCCAGTACTTATCCGTGGGTCAAAAAAGATTTGCTGGATTAGAATTAACGTCAAGGAAGGAAACTTAGAACTCTCTATCTCTTTATTATAAGAATCTTAACTTTTTTTTCAATATCTTAGCATGGCTAATAATGACACCTTATTAGGGCACAGGTATAATACTATTACATCACATCGAGGGAATCAGGTTTGGGTGAGCAGAATCGTATAAAATGAGATGAATTTTGCTTTCTTTCGACAAATGATCTCAGCTAATCAAGATATACAACGTCGAAAAAGCTCGTATGCCAAGGTCTTGTTTTTTTTTGTAATGATTAAATCGTACAAAGAAGAATACTCTTTGATTATTCAAAAATATCAATTCTTTTACTAAGGGCCTTTGGTTCTTTGCACTTTCGTAAAATGGTGAACCGAGATTGAACAGAGAAGAGATTCACCAAACCAACATTATAATGATTTCTCTTAAATTGTAAGGGTAATGCTTTATCGACTCCAAAGGTCTTCTGTTGTATCCAAGGAAGCAAACTAGTCGTAAAATGCAATGTAAATGTATATGTACACTACTAAAAACACTACATAGTATTCTATAAGCAACACACAAATGACAAAGGGAAGTGAACTGCTTGTTCTGTGTTTTGTCTTTTATTATAAATGGCACTACAAATTCTTTCTTTTCTTTTCATTTCATTTTTTCTTTTATTTTCTTTTCTCTTTTTACTTACTTACTTTCTTTTTTGTCAAGTCCTTATTTCCTCTTCTTGTTCTTTCTTTCTTCCTATTTTTCCTTTTTCTTTCTTCCTTCTTGCTTTCTATCTAAATTGTCTCTCAATACAGTGATCTAATTTCAAGATAGCCAATTAGAAGTGCAGTTCGTTCGCTGTTTCCGTGTGTAAATTAATAGTTACTGAACAGTTTACGCAATACAAAGATTTAATTTAAGCAACTATAACGATTAAAAAAAGGATGTAATACATAAAAGGTCGCATGTTCTGTATATCAGATATATTCTAACCTTCAGTTTCGGTTATTGAATATCACACATGATTGCTATAGATTTATGTGAATATTCTAACACTTACAGTATTATTAACTATTTCACTAATAACGTATTTCTTAGAATGAAAAATATTTTTCATAGTGGAATTGAAATAAATGATATTTATTTGTTTAAAACTTGTTAAATATTTCTAAATTGCAGAACTAAAATAATTTGACTTAATCTTTATTTTTATGTTTTTTGTGCTTTATCCCTCCCTTTCTTTCTTTCCTTCTTTCTTTCTTTCTTTCTTCCTTCCTTTCTTTCTTTCTT